GTCACATATAGACATACCACCATACTTTATAGGCATCACATATAGACATACACAATACTTTATAACATCACATATAGACATACACCATACTTATCGCATCACATGTAGACATACACCATACTTGATCGCATCACATATAGACATACACCATACTATAGCGCACACATATAGACATACACCATACTTTATAGCATCACATATAGACATACACCATACTTTATAGCATCACACATAGACATTCACCATACTTTATAGCATCACATATAGACATACACCATACTTTATCGCATCACATATAGACATACACCATGCTTTATCGCATCACATATAGACATACACCATACTTTATAGCATCGCATATAGACATACACCATACCTTATAGCATCACATATAGACATACACCATACTTTATATCATCACATTTAGACATAAACTATACTTTATCGCATCACATATAGACATATACCATTTATCGCATCACATATAGACATACACCATACTTTATAGCATACGTGATGCACAATAATTAAGATGGTTTCACGAGAGTGAGTGCGTACTCTCAGGAGTGTGCGTGAGTGTTTTCCGGTGTGGAAGTTCGTGTTGAGTGCAATTTGTCTTTCTGGTTTGAGCTAGCCCATTTTTGCATCTTTACCTGCGACCGATTCGTAGGGCCAAGTTGCGGAGGTAGTATGACAATACTTCTGCCCATACTATATGCAGGCACATATGTAGCAACACATACCCAGTAGACTAGTCATACGCGCATACTTTTATATATATACACGTACACACGAAAACTGTATTGTAGGCACGCGTTCTGTGTATTGAGGCAAAGGATCATACAAGAATGTCTGCATGCGCGTCCACATACTCTAGTAAGCTGTATCAGTATCACAAAACGTTAGTTTATTGTTTGATTTGTGAGGGATTCTATCTCCGCAAAATAAGTCTCTGAAGAACGTGAAAGTGATTGACAGAGACCTTCAGATTAAATTCGTAGAGCTACACATATCTGTCACAAGTGGGATCATACTCGCATACGTATTAAGTATATGCACATACTCACAAAAACTGAATCGAAGGCTATATATGTATGTATGTATGTATGTATGTATGTATGTATGTATGTATGTATGTATGTATGTATGTATGTATGTATATATGTATATGTATATATATATATTGTGCGTATTTTCTGAAGTTTTGCCTCTCCGTTCTGCAGCTTGACGAGTTTCTGAAGAAGAAGAAAGTCAACGGCAAAGTGCCTAAGAACAAACACATAGACGAAAACATCAAACTGTTCAACCGCATCTCCACCATTGTGGCTGCAAGCATCCTGAGTTGGCCTCTGGCGTCGCAGAGAGCAAAGGTGCGTACGAATTATTTACAGAAGTGGATACATTTATAGTTGTGTGTATATACGTGGTGTATATAATACTTACGTATTAGCTCGTATGTATATTTGTGTGTGTGTATTTGCGGTGGTCTCTAGAATCATTCATTTCTTATTGACGTGCAAACGCCGTTCCGTATTATGGTGCAGGTCTTCAATCGGTTCGTTAAGGTGGCAGACGAACAGTACAAACTCAACAATCACAACGGCACAATGGCGGTGGTGTCTGCCCTCAACCACTCGGCGGTGCAGCGGATGAAGAAAACCATCGAACTGGTCGAGGGTAAGAGGAAAAAGGTATGTATACACTTATCCAATCATATACGCGATCTTAGGAGGAGTAAAGCACGACTACATCCCGTTGTATAGACGCTACATAGCATGATCATAGGTGGAAAAATGTATGCGTACACTTTTGCAATCACATACGCGATCATAAAATGTGAATAAGGTATGGATATGTCCAATTATATACACTACATGACATGATCATATGAGAAAAAAAAGGTTTGACTGTTTCCAATACCATACACCCTACATAATTTAT